GCGGGGGCGGCCGCGGCGGCACCGCCCCCTCCTGCCGCCGCCATCTTGGAGGGGAAGGGGCGCCGTTGCTAGGCGACCAGCGCCGGCACTGCGGCCTGCGGGCCTGGGGAGCGGGCCCCGTTTTAGGGACCCGCCCTGTCCTCCATGGCCCCCCGTTGGGGACATGGTCCGTAGCCCCGAGCCGTCCCCTCCAAGGCAGGGCATCCCCTCGCCCCGCATGGCCGGCGTGCCCCTGCAAAACATGGGCACCCCTCACTCCTCCGTGCACCCCAGCACCCGCTCCAGCTTCAGCCTGGCTCTACTTAAAGCGACTCGAGGTTGCTGCCCGTTGGAGCAGGTGCGGGCAGACAGTAAAAATAAAACATCATCCCCTCCCTGCTCCAGGCAGCACAGATTGGGAAAGCGAGTGCTTAGAGCAAAGGTTTTGCAGGGCTCCGTCAAACCCAACAGCTTGCGCCTTCCTCGGCATATGTGCAAGCGAGGGGAAAAAAGAACCCACGAGGCGCTTGCTCGAAATAGCAAGAAATTCTCACCTCAGCTAGGGACTGTATTTTGGCTGCAACACGCAGCAATTGCAGGGTTTAACCTCTCCACTGCAAGGGGTAACTATATTTGCATGTGTCCCTCAAAACAAGGGCATTTTATAACCAAAAAAAAAGCTCCCTGGCAAGCGCGAAGGAGAGGGGACTGGGATGGGAAGCGTAAGGAACTACAGGAAGAGGCAAAGAGCCGCTTCCCCACGGGGCGCCCGTATCGGGGCTGCCAAAGCTCTTGGTCAGCTCCAAGAGGCACAAACCGCGAGCCAAATTTATCCCGTAGCCTTTCCTTATTCCAGCAGAATCCGCTTTAAAAACAACCGTCGCGTTTCAAGGTTTGTTTGCTTTGGTAAAAACAGGCTTTCTAAAATTGCATCCGGGCCTGGCCTATAAAAAGGCTGGGGGAAATGGAGCAGCCTGGGGTGAAACATGGCTTTCTTTGCGGCTGCGGGGGCAGCGCTGTGAGCCGGGCTCCCTCCTGCCATGAGACGGGAATCCACCCCGGCAGCACCAGCGCAGCACAGGCAGGGCCCCAAAAAGGGCTTTTTGAGCCCAAAACGAAGGGGACGCCATGCGGGGGGGGGGGACGGATGAGCGGGTGTCAGTGCCACCTCCCGTCCGCCGTGCCACACTGCACGGCCGGAGCCGCGGGAAGGCCCTAGTGCATCACCCGGATGCAGGGATGGATGCATGGAAAAATCCCGAGTACGGAGCAGCCGCCCCTTCCCCGGGGATGCTGCAGTGCCGGCGGCATCGCTGTCACCGCAGGGACATTTGCCACCACGGTCGCCTCCCAGAGCCGGCAGCACACAGAGCACGCTAGCAGCCCTCCGTCATTACAGAATATATTTTATTTATGGAATTTTTACAAATAACTTTTACACCTCACACGACATAAGTTATGTTCTTTGTTTCGACAAGTACTTCTTACGACACCTGAGTTATTAAAATACTGAGATGGAACTTGAGCTTCTAACCGGACACGGGAGAGGGAAACAGATTAAAAACCCCACGCAAGCTCAGGTGCTGTCACCTTCCCTCCTCCGTCTCCCACTGGCTCCATCCCGTCCGCAAAGGCTGGTACCAACCACCCAACAGCTGCTCTGCCCTTCGGTGGTCCCAGGAAGGTCCCCCAAAGCTCCCAGCCAAGGAGCCTTGTTTCTCCAAGGGGCTTTGGACCCCCGGAGTCTCGGAGCTGATTCGGTGGGCTGGAAATTGGGTTAAACTTACGACGGGGAGAGCACGGGCTCGTGGATCCTGCCGTGAATTCCGTGGGCAGTGCCCTCTGCCCCATGGAAAACTGCCAGGAATACAGTGCTTTCCAAACACTTCCTTGAGAGATAAGCGGCATGCCACCCGCCAAAGGGCTTGCTTTCGCCCCGCCATGTTAGTGGGCGTTGTAGGAGTTTGTCATGGCCCAACTTCGAGCCGAACCTGCGTCCTGGGGGGCCGCTGCACAGGCCAGCGCTGCCCTGCTGCCCCCGGGACCCAGCACCTTGGGACGGTGCTGGTCACACAAGAAATGCCACCGGGTGACCACGCCAGCCACCTAGCTCTGAGCCTGGACATGGCAAGGAAACGCCCGGGGGGACAAATGTAGGGGACGACTGAGGAGGTGCCCAAAAGATGCCCAAAGGTGGCATCTGCGGGAACAACAACTGAGCATCTCCCTAGGCAGCAGCAAGGGCCAGGGCGACACATTCCCGCTGCGCCCCTGGGTGCTCCCAAGAAGCTCTGGTATTTTCCCTTCGGGATGCCAGTGGGACCCAGCAGAGCCTGGGGGCTACAAAGACCCTGGCAGTGCCACATTTTGGGCACCTAGGGACGCGGTGATGGCCATTAGGAGCGTAAGAGGAACGAAATCTGGCTCTCACCTAAGGCAAACTGGGAGCTACAACCAGGCACCGAGCAAGACGGGCGGCACTGCTGCGGGACAGCGCTGATGTCCCCCCTGCGTTTGGGGGCTCGTCCCCCACCCTGAGGTGGGTGGAAGCGGGGTGCAACCTTCCCATTCACCTTGCAGAACCCGAAGCATTTTCCTCAGCACCCTTCCTTCCCCAAACCGGTGCTACGTGCACAAGGCTGAGCCACCCGCCCCAGGTCCCGCTTGGCCGCACGGCCACCGAGTCCTTCCCGCTGGGTGCGGGAGGCCACTCGGGGCGGGTGCAGGAGACAGAGGGCTGCAACGGAACCGCAGGCGACACGGCTGGGATGGGCAACATTATCAATATGATAATAAGTCAATTCACCTAGTGAATCTGGGGAAAACCAGCCCCAAAGCAGAGTCATGAAGCACCTGCAACACTCTTCATTAGCCTCTCCCTAAACACACAACCTAAAGAGGTTCGCGGTCTCCTTTTTCACTTTTTTTCTCTTCCAGAAAGCAAACCCCTCGCCACCCGGAACCTCTGCAACTCCGCAGCATGAGTGTTTAAAAGCAGATGTCCCATCGCAGATGCCATCGTGCGCTTGGTCACAGTGTAAAGAGCTTTTCCCCAGGCAGGGAGCCCGCGCGGGACCTCGTCCCGGCTCTGCCCTCGTGCCCCTCTCTGCAGCCGCCCCGCACAAGCAGTGGGAGGATTTTCTTCCTTGGGGCCGCAGGGAACCCGGGGGAGGTATCGGTGTCTGACCTGCGCGGGAGACGCTCCGGCCTCCCCTGCTCTGTGTGCTGCTAACCCGAATGTGCTTAAACCCCCTCGGGCCGGCTCTGCCAGGGCATCCCGCAGCAGCTCCGAATGCAAGGCCAGAGGAGCTCCGATAGCCCAACTCCGTCCTTCCTGGGAGACGTGAGGAGAGGGGACGGCTACGACATTGGGAAGAGATCCTTGGGCCAAGCCGGTCCTTGGGCAAAGGGGATTTAGCCCCCCCACCCCTGGAATCATAATAATATGAAGTCCGTGGAATAGTTTCAAAAGCAATGCCTCTTCTCCTGTAGTGTTTTGTGCTGTCAGTGCCCGCACAGGTACCATCGTACGCAGCAGGAAAAGAAAATAAGAGAATTTCCCCCCCCACCTCCCCCCCGAAAAAAAAAGGAAAAAAAAGGAAAAATGGGTAGAAGTCTCTGAGGGCGGCAGGTCCTACCCTATCTGGATCTGGCCCGAGTACATGGTGAGCAGCACCATGATGGTGAAGCCCGTGAGCAGCCCCGCGTTCTGGATGGCGAAGGTGGTGAGCGCGCTGCCGTTCTGCTCGTCCTCGCGGCTCACCTCGTTCATCTCGGGGAACTGCGGGGAGACGGAGCGGGCGCTGAGCCTGGCTTACTGGCGCTGAGCCCGGCTTGCCGGCGCTGAGCCCGGCTTGCTGGTGCTGAGGCTGGCTCGCCCGCCAGCGCCGAGCGCGGGCAAAGCAGGACGCGCGCCCCGGCGCCGCGCGCGCCGCCTTTACCATATCAGCCAGCGCGATGTAGAGGAACATCCCTCCGGCCAGGGCGAAGATCCAGTTGGCCGAGAAGTGGCTGCCGGCCACGATGCCGAAGGCCAGGCCCACGTAGCAGCAGCAGGCCGAGATGAAGTTGAAGAAGAGCGCCTGGCGGATGGTCATGCCGGCGTTGAGCAGGATGACAAAGTCCCCTGCGTGGGCGAGAGGGGGACGGGGAGGATGAGGAGGGCGGGCGCGATCGCCGCGGGACAGCATCGAGGGGCTCGTATAGGGCGCTTGACCTGCCCCGTATGCGCTGCCATCCCCATAGAGCCTGACCTTCATGCAAGTCTATAAAACCTGCCCCAGATCCCTTAGGGGGTCCTAAGGGAGGACAGGACTCCCCTTGCTCACACAGAGATGCCCGGGGCCACAGGCACGGCCTGCTGGCACCCAACGCGCCCGAGCGGGCGAGGTCTCGCTGCGTTTATTTGCACGTGTCTCAATCTAAATTTAAATCTCAGACATCATATTACCTCGTTATTTTTAGAGCCAAGATTACTCAGTGCAGTTTAATGCCTGGCCTTCCCCACACCAATCCTGTTTGTTCCATCGCGCGGTCCTCTCTCTCCCGAGGAAAACAGGTCCGATACCCATTAGATGGGCCAAGCAGCGGGGTTAGCACTAGGAGGGCAGGACTGAGAAGCCTGGAGGTCCCCCGGGCCCCCACGTACCCAGCTCGTGCGGGAACTCCTCGCAGAGGATGGCCACGGAGGTGCTGATGCCTTGGAAGACGGAGACGGTGAAGGAGGCGCCGATGGCGAGGCCGTCGATGAAGTTGTGGAGGCCGTCGCTGAGCGTCACCATCCAGGCGAGCGTGCCGATGTGCGAGTAGCGCACCTCCTTGAGCCAGTAGCACGCGCTCTGCGAGGCCGCCAGGTCCTGCCAGGGCAGCGGCGCTCACCACTGCCCGCACGCAGCGGCCGCCGCGCTGCCCTCCCGCGCTGCCCTCCCGCGCTGCCCGCCGAGCCCTTCAAACCAGGGGTTTAACCCAACAAACTCCTCCTAGCTCTGCCCGCCGAGCCCTTCAAACCAGGGGTTTAACCCAACAAACTCCTCCCAGCTCTGCCCGCCGAGCCCTGGAGCACCTGACCAAGGGGCTTGTTCCAACCCTATAAACACCCACCTGGGTTAATCCACCCGGGTTTCCTGCCCCAAGCGGGCAGGATTTGCTCTGCCCACGGGGGCACTTGCCAGCCGGGTGCGATACCCTTAAACCGCTCCCATTCCCGGGCCCTTCCCGTGGGCGGCCCCGTGCCCGGGCGCTAACCTGCACGGAGAGCGAGCCCACGACGACCTTGTGGTCGCCCGCGGCGCCCTTGCCGTCCAGCTCGCCGCCGCGCGCGGGGATCATGCGGTCCAGGTCTCCGTTCTGCAGCTTCTCGGTGACGCCCTCCTCCCGGTCCCTCTTGGAGGGCAGCGCCTCGGCGCCGTAGTGGCTGTGCCCGTGGTGATGCTGCGGGGACAGGGGCTCAGCCGCGGCCGCCGCTTCCCGCCCGGGCGCACAAAAGCCACGGGGCTCTCCCCCGATCCAAGGAAACCGCTCCGTCGGCACGGGGGTTTCGCCGCCTTCATCGCACTGGGGCAGCACACAGCGCCTCCTCATCCTCACCTGGTCCTTCTGCTTCAGCAGCATCTTCAGGATCTTCTCAGTGAAGAAGAACAGGTAGAAGCCGCCGAACACCACGGCCGACTTGGAGACGTAGTAGTCCTCCTGAGGGTTGAAGCCGAAGGCCTGCAAGCGCCGGGAGCGAGTGAGGGGCCGCGGGCAGCACTCCGCGTGTCCCCGCGCCGCGGCGGCCGCTCCGCGGCTCCTGGCCTCCCTCCAAGCAGCGGCTGCCCCGGGGAGGGCGCAGAAAGGTCTGCGTGCACCTGAACCTGCCCCGAATCCCCCAGGCAGGCAGCCTGTGCAGCACATCCATGGGTCTGGGTGCTAAAAACGTCGGATCTACCGGTCTGGTTGCTAAAAACACGGGATGCATCGGTCTGGGTGCTAAAAACCTTGGATCCATCGGTCCGGATGCTAAAAACACTGGATCCATCAGTCTGGATACTCTCTGGGAGCCTCCGGAGGGCGGCGAGGCCCTGGGGAAGCGGGAATTCCCGCGCAATTCCAGCTCGCGTTCCCGAGGGGCTTGCAGCCGCCCTACCTCGCTCTCCGGGCCACCGTGGGGCTCCCCCTTGGCCAGCAAGCGCCCAGCAAGACAACCGGCCCCCGAGAGAGAAAAGGAGCGACCCGGCGGTCCTCACCCTACCTCGGGAATGAGCTGGAAGAGGGCGTTGGAGTAGAGAGTTCCAATCGCCAGAGCTATGAAGTAGAGGAGCAGCCGCTTGTAAAAGGTCTTCTTCATGAAGGGCACCACGCTGGCCCCCACCAGGGAGCAGAGGGAGATGACGGTGACGCAGAGGAAACCGTACCCCCAGACTGCGGCGGGAGCCAAACCCACCCCGGGGCAGCGGGCGAGAGGCGGTCGCGGAGGAAGGGGGCAGCTCAGCGCGGGGAAGGGGAGCAAAGGAGTCCACGGCGGCACGGGAGAGAGAGGGGGGAGAGAAGAGGACATTCATTAGTGATTGATCCTTCATTGCTCCTGCTTCCAGAGCGGGGCCCGCGGCGGCTCTGCAACAAGCGCTCCGGCCCTTTGGGAATGCCGCAGGCCAGCTCGGATGCGAGGCGTGGGAGGGAGCTCCCGTCCCGCCGGCCGGCAGCGGCTTCCCGAGGGCCACGGGTTGTTCCAGAGCCGCGGAGCCCGCGCTCCCCGAGCGTCATCCCCGCGGAGCCCTTCCAAGCGGCTCGCTGCGGGACGGGGGGCCGAGGTGCCCGGCACCCCCCGGCACGCCAGGACGCACGGCTGCCGTGCTCCTACGCTCGGGAAAGAAGAACTGCAGTTCTGGAGCTGGAAAGGAGCCGGGAAAACCAGCGCTTGGCTGCGGCCGGTGGAGGCGAGAGCCCCTCCGGATCTGCAGCCCTGTGGAGATACCCTCGGATGTGGTCGTACAACTCCAGAACTGCCCAATTACAACACAATTAAGTTGCCATGTGTCCGTCAGACCCATCAGAGCACCAGGAAACCTCGAGCCTCACGTAGGCACAAACCCTCCGGGGAGCGCCCGTCTTGGCGAGTCAGCAAAAAACCCGCATGGACAGAGCAATTCCAAGCTTCAGCAGAGGCTGCTGGTCGTGGAGGAGCCGCTGCTTCTCCGGGCTGCTCTCTGCACTTTTACACTCTGACCCTTCCTCTTTTGCAGGGACCTTCCCACGCCGCTGGCGCCGGGGGCCGCGGGGCCGCGGCCGCTCTCGGGCACGGCCGCCCCGTGCGACTCGAGGCGTTTTCTGGTGCTCGGAGGGGCGCGAAAGCCCTGCAGAGCCCTGCACAGGCAGCCAGCGTGGAGAGAGATCCCCTGAGCCTCAGGTCCCGGAGAGATCGGACGGATTCAGCAGGGTGCAGGCGGGGAAGGCGCCCGGAGAGCCGCCCTCGGGACAGGAGGGATGCAGGGACCATCTACCGCACCTCTGGGATGAGCTGGAAGAGCGCGTTAGAGAGCAGCGTGCCGATGGAGAGCGCGATGAAAAACGTGAGGACCCGGCTGAAAAAGGCCTTCTGGGTGCACGGCACGATGAAGACTCCGAGCAGGGAGGCCACGTTAATCATCGACACACTGAGAAAACCAAAGCCCCACACTGCGGAACGAGAAGAAACGAGGGCCAGACATTACCGAGGCTCCCGCGGCTCCGGGGCCGGCCCCAGTCCGGGCAGGAGGACACGGCTCGCTCCGGGCTCGCTCCGGGCTCGCACAGCCCCACGGCACCGGAGCAGCTCTCCCTGCGCTCCAGACGCTTCAGCTGCGATATAAACCAGTTTTGGGGCGGGAAGAGGGTGGGAAGGGAATCTCTGGACGTGCCGTGTGCCTCCGGGATGCTTGGAAAAGGCTCCCTGAGGCGCCCTGGCCTCGGCGGGTGCGAGCAGCAGATGCGGTGCTCAGGACAGCTTGTCCCAGCCTCGGGCAGCGCCAGAACCCGCCTGGGCTCACGGAAGCCCATTTGGCATCAGCGGTGGCCGGAGGCTGGCGGGACAGGCCCATCCGCCCAGTGGGCTCCCAACCATGCTGACCCCCCCGCCTGACTCCTTATCCAGGACTCCAGGAGAGGGGCCATGGAACAGCTCAGACCTCGGGCACGCGCACGTGGGAACAAACCAGGCTCCAGAGCTGGAAGCGCGGAGCCAACAGCACCTCTCCGGAGCCCATGGCACAAACACAGCAAGGAAAACCCGCAGAGGCTCCCGGCAGGGTCCCATTCCATATGGGAACGGGACCCGGCGTGGCTTCGCACGCTGGCGCTCCGCGCGCAGGCCCCGCGTGCCGCTCACCTTCGGCCGCGCTGGGCCGGCTCTCCTCCGTCCGCTCGTCCTCCTCGTTTTCCAGGTTCTCCGGGGCGCACGCGCCCGACTCCAGCTGCTGCAGGACGGCGGGGCAGAAGTCCTGCAGCTCGCGGGCGCCCAGGCGCGAGGCCGCGCTCAGGTTGTGCATGGCGAAGAGCTCCGCGGAGCCGAAGCACTGCGGGGGGACGGCAGCGGGGCTCGCGATTCCCGCCCTTCCACGGGACCCCAGGATGGTCGACGTTGGAAGGGGCCTCTAGGGATCATCCTCCAGCAGGGACACCCCTCAGACACCCGCCAATCCCCATACCACCCCCCCGGGACCCCATAGATCCCACACTGACCACCCTGGCACTGCATAATCCCCACGCTGACCCCCCTCCCCACACCCCCTATAGCCCCATACTGACCCTCCAGGCATCCCGGGGGAGACAGGGCTCCCCCCGGCCTCCCGCTGCCCCCCCAGAGCAGGGGGCACCCGGGCGCATCCAGGCGCGTTGGGAAGATCTCCAAGGAAGGAGCCTCCCTGGGCAGCCTGTGCCAGGGCTCGGGCACCCGCACAGGGAAGAAGTTCCTCCTCGCACGGAGATGGGGCTGCCTGGGGTTCAACTTGCACCCATTGCCCTTGTCCCGTCCCCGGCCAGCACGGAGAGGAGCTCGGCGCCTTCCTCCCCACAGCGCCGCGCGAGGTTCCTCACCCGGGAGAGGTTGGCGGGCCGGGACGCGTTGGCGCGCCCCACTCCCACGTCGAGGCGGTTGAGCAGCGCCTTGAGCTGCGCCAGGCTGAGGGTGCCGCCGTCGCCGTGCCGCTGCAGGACGTCCTGCAGGAAGGCGGCGGCGGGTGGCGCGGCCGCCGCGCGCGGGCACCGCAGCACGCACAGCAGCGCCAGCAGGCAGCAGCCCCGGCCGCCCGCGCCCGCCATCCCGGCGTCCCGGCGCTGCTGCGGACGAGAGCGCGGTGCCCTGAGCCGCCGCGAGCACCGGGCAGAGCCCGGCCCGCGCGGCGCCCCTCGGGGTGCCCAACACCAGGGCCAAGGGCCAGGGAGGTGGCAGGGCACTGGGACAGGACACCATGTCCATGGGCACTGGGACACGGCACCATCTCCATGGGGCCTGGCACTGGGACAGGACACCACGTCCATGGGCACTGGGACACGGCACCATCTCCATGGGCCCTGGCACTGGGACACGGCACCATCTCCATAGGCCCTGGCACTGGGACACGGCACCATCTCCATGGGCAATGGCACTGGGACATGGCACCATCTCCATGGGCCCTGGCACCGGGACAGGACACCACGTCCATGGGCACTGGGACACGGCACCATCTCCGTGGGCCCTGACGTGGCCCTGGGACATGGCACGACATGGGACAGTCCCTGGCAGCGGGACACGGCACCAGAGGCCAGCGCGTTTCCTCAGGCAGCACCGGGGGTGCCCACGCGCTCCCGGGGTGCCTTCCCACCCCCACGGGAGAAACCCGCCGCTTCCCCCCGTCCCGCGGGGACCCCAACACCCCTCCACGCGCCCGGCACTCACCGCGTGCGGATGCAGGGGGAGCTGCCGGTGTTGGCTCCGTGCGACTGGCGCCTGCGGGACAGAGGCCGGTGGGAAGCGCGGGAGCGAGCGCGGAGCGCACCGCGCACCCGGCACCCCGCAGCCCCGGGGCCACAGGGGACACGCTCGTTAGGTTATACTTTAACTATGCTAATTGCAACGAACCTGCCCGGGCGGCACCGCAGCCGCCTTTAGAGTATTTGCCTAGACTCAATCCTTGCCCTTTCTGCTCTTTTCATTTATGCCGAAGATCAATAAGAGGCAAGCGGCGGGGATGTGGGGTGCACCCGGAGCGGGGAACAGCCCCGGGACAGCGCGGGAGGCCGCGCTGGAGCCGTGCCCAGGAAAAGCTCTGGGGAAAAAAAACAGCTTGGGAAAACTGGTGGCAGGTGAGCGGCAACTGGGATTGCCAAGGCCGCGGCGCGGGACGTGCCAGGAAGCACCGCTGCCCTGCGGGGCACGCAGGCAGGCGGCATCCCCGCCGGGGCGCAGGGAGCAAACTGTCCCGGGAGCGGACGGGGGACAAACACGGGGACGGCGGCGTCACCCGCCAGCCGCGCGGACCGCGGGCGTTGGAGCTTTTCCATGGGAGGGAAAGGTTACGGAGCTGTCGAGAACGTGGCACGGGGCCTTATCGGAGCGGCGGCAGCGCCCGGCCGGGCGCCTCGGGCCCGGCTCCGCAGAGCCCGCCGCGGGATCGCCTGGCGCCTCCCGTCGTGCCCGAGCATCCCCAGGGAACCCAAGGGCGTTCCCGGCGTGCAGGGCACGCGCTCGAGCCCCTGTGGGGTGACGGGGACGGGAACGTCCCGCGGGAGGAGGCTGGAGCACCGCGGCACCACACGGCAGCTCCATAGGGCTCCACAGGGCACCACGCTGCCCCCGGGCTGCCCACGGGCTCCTCAGGGCAAGTGGGACACAGGGGGCAAATCCCGGGAGCAAATCCCGGCTGCTCCGCGGCACCAACAAGCGGCCCCTGCTCCCGGGCAGCAGCTTTCGGGCTCTTCCCAAAAGAGGCCCGGGACATTTTTGAGCTCCGGCCAAGCAATTGTTCTGAAAATAGCGCTGGCCGGTGGCAGCGCGGGGCGCGGGGCAGCCCCGAGCCCTGCGAGCGGCTCCCTCTGCCGCCGCCTTCCCTCCGGAGGCTCCCGCATTCCCGCGGGTTTAAGAGCTAAAAGCCGGCTTTGTTGCTCGCGGCACAGGGGGACCCTGCGCCAGGGCTTAGCCTGTAGGCTCGCGCCTAATCCCTCTCCTCCCCAAACGGGGCGCGGGAGCCCTGGCTCCGCGGGTGCCGGCAGCCCTCTGCTCCGCGTTTCCCGGCGGGAGCGGAGCGCCCTCCCGGAGCCCCGTGCGCTCCGAGCAAGCCGGGCAGGGCAGAGCGCACCAAGGAGGGAAACGATCCCGCCGATCCCATCCGCCGGGAGCCCCTTCCCGGCCGCGCTCCCCGCTCCTGCCTGGCCTTCCCGGGCACCCCCTGGCCTCCCGCGGCGGCCCCTTCTCCTTCTCCTGCACAAAGGTCATCTCCGACAAGCCGGGAGTACCGGAGAGGAGGAGGAGGAGGAGGAAGGTGCCCACCCGTGTCCCAGCTCCGGAGCCCTCGGCTTGGCCGGGCACCAGCCGCCGGGAGCGGCGGCGCCGAGCGCGCCCGGGGCCTGACCTACTTTGTGGCTCGCTCGCCTTCCCGGCGGGATGGAGCCGAGCGATCCCGCTCCGGAGCGCCGTGCGGTGCTGCCGGAGCCCACGGAGACGCCCAGCAGCGCGAGCCGGAGCCGCCGGCCCGGATCCGCAGCCCGACTCCCTGCCTGGCCTTCCGTCCCTTTATAGCGGGAGTTATCGATCCCTGTTGCAAAACCCCCCGCCCCGGGAAGGGGATGCCGGGAACAACTTGTGCAAAGAGAAAACAGCAGCAGAGCGGCGCGGCCGGCGGCGCCAGGGGCTTCCCGAAAGCCCCCGGGGCAGCGCTCGGAAGCGGAGCAGTGTCCGGAGGGAGCAGGACAGGGGCTGGCAGCGTCACCGGAGCCGTGGCCCGAGGTGCAATTGGCCCCTCGCACCTGGGCGAGCCGTGGGCATCAGGGAACAATTCCCATAGGGAATGTGCTTGCTGGGAGCCCGTGAGCGTCACCCGCCTGCCTGGAATCAGGGCTGCCCGGCATCCCCTCCGCCAGCCTCGCAGCTCCGTTCCCGTGCGCCCAGCCTGCTGCCGGAGCGGGGACCGGGAACGGGGCAGGGACCTGGAATGGGGCAGGGACCGGGAACGGGGCAGGGACCGGGAACGGGGCAGGAACAGGGAACGGGGCAGGAACAGGGAACGGGGCAGGGACCGGGAACGGGGC